ACCAGCCAATAACCCAGCCAGTGTCCACTAAGTAGCTTCCAAGTGTTTGGCAAGTACCTACAAAGGGCCTGTCAAATTACCACCAAGTATCTGGCAGGTACCCAACGAGTGACCATCACGTACCCTCCACGTGCCAGCAAGTATCTACCGAGTTTCCAGCAAGTAACCACCAAGTGCCTGCTTTGTGCCCAGCAGGTACCCTCCAAAAGCCCAGCACGTAGCCGCAAAATGATTGTCAAGTTCCTGAAAAATATTATCAAGCGTCAGGCATGTACGCACAAAGTGCCCAACAAGTACATAGCTAGTGACCAACAGGTACCCACTAAGTACCCAGGTAGTACCCTCCAAGTGTTCATGAAGTTCTTGCCTAGTGCACGGAAGTACCCAACAAAGAGTGATCGGCAGTTACTCGGTAAGTACCTAAAAAGTGCTCAGAAAATTCCTGGAAAGAGCCAGATAATACCCGCCAAAGAGTGACAGTTAAGAACCTAACAATTGCCTACCAAGCATTCGCCTAATATCCGTGGGGAAGTGCCATCCAACTGCCTGGCAAGTACCCTGTTAAGTTTCCGTCACGTATCTGCAAAGTGACTGGCATTTACCCATCAAGTATCCACACAGCGCAAAGTATATCTACTACTGCCTTATCTGTATGACAGTTATTACACATTTACATATTAACACTTAAGTGCAAATAACTAGTTACTATTCACCACTGAACTCAGTATGGGGAGTTTTATAAGGTTTATGATCAAGGTGCTTATTGCTGATTTAATTATGACATGCAATAATTTGTAAAAACAACTTAATACTCTTTATTTGGATTTCTTAACTGCAGAATAACAGCAGCCATAAGCAAACATACCAAATAACAAGCCTATGTAAATACAAATGATACCTATATTTAAAATTATTTTTTCTATCCTCCTCCGTTGCATTAAGACATGTCACAATTCAATACTTCTGTCAACTCTGTTGAAAAATCCTCCACACTTCTTTCTTTTAACACCAACTCATTTTATAAACCCGAAGTCCCCTTATTTAATTTCCGAGCCTCGTATCGATCAGAACGAGCTTACGGCACTTCAGCGCAGAAAACTTATCTCCTTTATCTTGCATGAGGAAAAATAGATGAGATTTTTAAAGGTTCTGATAATCTAGTTAGGGTAACTAAAGTTCATAATGCTAAGGTTATTTTTAACAAACTGATAAGGAAACTAAAACTATGACCTGCAAAAACAAGTTTAACCTATTGCTTTAATAAGTATCGCATTCTTATATTAATCATAAGACTCAAATAATTCGATAGCCGTGTCAAACAAAACAAAAAAAATTGCTCTAAACAGAACAAACCAAGGGTAGTTTTTTTAAATTTTAATTTCTTAAGAAATTGTAGCAGATATTGCCGACCAGACCTTTGTAAGTAACTACTTAGGCAAACTTCAAAAGTAACCATAATCCTTAGAAAATGCTGAAAACAAGATAAACTTAAGGAAAATATCTCTTTCTTTTTGCATTTCAAATCCACAAGACAAAAATAAACATCTTATAACAATGTAGAATATTCTCCCCCTCTTCTTTCACCAGACTTAAGTGGGATAAGAGATTCCAGAGCTTGCAATGCTGAACAAAGATATAAACAGAGATAGAAAAAAAAAAAAAAAAAAAAAAAAAAAAAAAAAAAAAAAAAAAAAAAAAAAAAAAAA